TGCTAGCGAGGGGGAGGCTTGCAGAGGGCCTGCTGTCACCTGCTGTACGTGGTGGCTTTTCAGCCTGGTTCCCCACAGAAATGTGGCTTCTGTGACTGTGTTGGACAGCCAAGTGCATCTCACGCACAGATTTTAAAAATCGGCGAAATTTGCGGAGGGGAAGCAGTCCTCAAGACGTGGAGTTGCTGTCGGTAGTGCGGCAGTGGGTAGCTGGGGAGGGGGAATATACTGAATGAGTTCACTTTTTACCTGTGTTTTGTAGATTCCATGCAGGAGAATTTCTCGTTATTAAAATACAGACTTGTTTTGATTATCAGATCCCCCTTTTTTTTTTTTTTTTTTTTGGAAAGCAGGACCAGGTAGGAATGTGAGCCATTGCTTAACACCAGCAATTCTGTGTGTTAAAGAAAAAGGCTGTTTTGTGCCAAGAAATACTGGTGACAGATTGTTGTATTTACTTCTAAACTGCAACACTTTTTATTCTTATTATCCCTTGAAAGGAAGATTGCAGCAGTATGGTGTAATTTAGGACAAATCTGTGCAAGTATGTTCATACTGTTTCTTTGGTTTAAGTGAATTTTCATTTCCATGTGTCTCTTGTCTTCATATAGCCCAAATTTCCAAAAATTAATGTTTTGAGTGTGGTATACTATCCTTGAGAGGAAATTTATAATGAATGTGTTTACATCACTTTGTTTATATGTCTGGTACTAAAACACAGTGTGATGAAAACTGTAAGGAAACAGACATCAGAAAACCTAAGTGGTGTTGCTTCTTTTGCAAAGCAAGCCTTGCTTTTAAAAGGTTTACAGATGTTCTGGAATCTGTGCCTTAAGAAAAAGTGTAGTACTTGTTTTTTTAAAAAGCTTCATATCAGCTGTGTCCTCTGATGCGATTCTTAGATGTATCAATGTGAATTAAAACAACTACCTTAAAGGTTTTTTAGCTGAAGCAGCAAACCTTGAACTCTTTTTTAACTTTCTCTTCAGAGTGGGAGTTTTTTCTTCCAGTTGGGTGTTTTTGAGATCTTTAGCTGTGATATATTTTCTCCTGCAAGTGGATATTGCATCTTTAATTGTATTCTTTTTGAACAGAATTATGAATTTCCAGTGACCAATGCAGACCTAGTGAAAATAATTTTGGATCTGTCACAATTAATCAGAATTCTAGTCCGATGACTTTTGGTCCAGTTTGGCCACCCTTTAATGTCATGGTAATCTAATTGTAAGAGGAGATTTTGGGGGCTTAAAAGAAAGAGTTTGACCTAGGAATGGCTGTCAGGCAAATCTAACTGTACATTAGAGCTGCCTAAACTGATCCCTTAAAGAAAGAGGCAAATTCCACAATGCCCTGGATCTGCTTTGTTGGTAATAACTAATTTGAGAGACTTTCTTATTTAGTACCTATTTTTTTTTTTTAAGTAAAACTGTTTAAATTTTGGTTTGTTGGATAATCGCTGAAAGAAAACGCTAAAGTTATAATATAGTTTTACTGGATCCTAGCAGCTTAAGTGTGTTTTCACTGTAAGATAAGCTTATGAAGTATTGCCCAAGCTAACATAGTAAATCTTTTTCAAAAAACACATCTTTTCTTAGGGTGGAAATATTGAATGGTCATTGGATAACTACTGCAGTAAAGGGGTCAGAATAATTCATTTTTAGTTTGGAACATAAACCAAAGAGTTTTTTCCCCCACCTCCTCTGCCCCAAATGCTACTTCTCTTGCCAGTTAACTCTCCTTTAGGATTGCCTCTGTGGATATATTCTCTTGTGGGAGATGTCACAGCTCCCAGCTCAGATTTTCTAAAATGTCAGTTTCTGGTAGGGTCCTGATACCTCTCTGTCCACCCATACATAAAATTCCAGCCTCAGTGGGAAGGAAAAGGTAAAACAGGTAATGAAAGAGAGGGTCTATCGTAACCATATTTGTTGGGAATTGAGTATCGGACTCTCTGTGAAAGTTTATTGCTGTCTTGATACTGAGGCTTCCAACTAGTCATTTCACAACTGAGCCAGATGGACTTGGGTCTGGGTTATAATTCTCTTTTAAATGGAGAGATTTGTCATTACAGAGCCCTGCTGATGCTGACCTGTAATCATTAGATGCAGTTTCAGTGCCAGTAAATTTTTGACTTCAGAAGGAGCCAGCTACGAACTATAGGAAAGCCAGGAGTAGAGAATTCCTCAGGTGTTTTCTTGCCTCTCCCTTATTTCAGGAGGTTTGCCCATCAGTAAATGTATCCAATGACACTAAAGCTAGATTAACATGTGCAAGAATGACTATGTGCCTGGAATAGTTTTTGTTCATTTGCTCTCTTGACAGTTTAGGTGTGGATCCTAGCTTGTATCTGCTGGCATCTCATTGTGAGAAGGATACCGAAATTGAGGGAGAACCCTGAGGAAGAAGGTCCTCTCCAGCTGGCCAAGGGCCCAGAGGGTGATCTTGACTGTGAAATAAAAAGGGGAGGTTCTACTGTGTGCTACAGTGAGAATTTGGATGTCTTCTAGTACTCGTAGTAAGTTCCCAGGGGCTCAGCTTTGGCAGACTGAGGAGGAATGCTCCAGTCCTACCTGTTCTTCATCCCGGTGACCCATACTCTGTCCTCCTAATGGCAGCTCTGGGGTGCTGTGCTTTCACCTGTGGCTGTGTGATATCTTCCAGGGACACAGCTGCTGGGTCTTTTTTTTTTTTAAGCAGGGAAAACTGCTTCAGCAAAAGAAGTGCAAGAGACTTTTGGAGAAATAGGAATTAGAAAGTGGAAAGAAGTTGTTACTAAGGACCTATTCCTAGATCAAGGCTTCTGGTGCTTTTCCCTTTCTCCTTCTTGTCCACTATACCTTAAGCTGATGCTGTCATTCCACTACGCTCTGAAAGCAGCGAATGCCAACCTTGTTTTCCATGTGCGTTTAGATCTGGTTTCTCTTCCAACCACTCCATGCTGTTCAGTGGGAAGAGCTCAACTCAGTAACGCCGGGCGTGGGTCAGGTGTGCCTGAACCGTATGGTCTCTGGAAGGCTCCCAGATCCTCACTGCCCACTGCGCCTGCCAGCGCTGCTCTGTTTCGGATCGTCCCGTTCTTTGTCCTCGCTGTCTCCATGGCTGGCACGCAGTAAACTCATGACTATTAACTGATGGCGTGCAAAAATTTTTACGAAAACAAAGGCAGCTCCTTGCTTTTATTCTTACTAATTTATTTCCTGATACAATCTCCATCTGGCAGAGACCTTACAGGAGCTGAACAAATGAGGTGCACCACTGAGGTATCCCCGTATTTCAAGCTGTTGTAGTTACCCAAGCAATTTTCTCAAACTTGCTTGTCACCATGAAACACTATGGTGGTCTTACCCTTTAGTAACCCTTGTTATTCCAACTTGAGTCCAGTTCATGCAGAGAAATACAAAAGAAATTTTAAGGATTTAAATTTTTTAAACTGCTGCGTATCTATAGCTGGTGGTTCTCAGCCTTGCTGGGAAGTCATTAAAGATAGGATAAATGAGATGGAGTGTCTCAGTTTCTTCTGAAAGAGCAGCATCTGTGGGGAGAGCCCAAATCTGAAGAGCTCTGTATCAAAAGGCAGAGCTGGGGATAATTAGCAGCATATGAAAACATGAGAGTGTCATTAGGGTTGTAGCCATCATTGTCAAGCGACTGCTGCTCTAATGTTGCCCGAAGGCAAGAAAGCCCATTGGAGACACCGCAACCATCTGTGAGGGTGCCCTCAAGATGGCAGCGCGCAGCCGCAACCCTCAGGGCTGGTTGCTGGGGGAAGAGC